GATTTCCCGTGAAATTAATTGTGAAGGTACTTTAAAGTGAAGGTATGCTGGATAGGCAACAGAAACAAGGGCTTGCACTGAGATTCAATGAAGGGATGAAATGGTCAGAACCAGGAAATATATTTTTGTAACAACATGTCTAAGTGGGTCAAAAGGGAATTTGTAAAAGGATATAAAAAAGGATTATGCAGTAAAGATGCAAGTTGGTCAGAACCCAGAAAAGAGCTGCTTTAGTTGGAGAGGAAAGGCCACATCTTGGAGACATGCAAGAAGTTTCTGCAAGAAGCAAAAATTACCCAGATCTGAGTCCCTATGGCAGTGGTTCTCAACCTTTTTAGACTCCAGGCACCCCTCACTAGATTAAAGCCCCCCTCAAAAATATAAGCTCTTAGCTTTCACTCACTGCCCTTCTCTCCTCCCAGCTGCCAGTATAGAAAAACAAAGAAATTCTTCTATCACAAAGAACTCAGAAAGACCACAACTGGCCAGGACATTTTTGACACCAAGAATTCATATTTGAAGTCTCAGGGGTGTACTTGGTACATGGAAGATGCCGAATTTCAGCCAATTTTGGATTTTAAGAACTTCACTGCAGAACAAGGAAGTTTTTTTTTTTGTTTTGTTTTTTCTGCCTCCCTGCCTGCCACGTGACACCACCAGGGAAGGAATTCTACCTGATCAACACGAAGAGATACTCAACAGCTCACAAAGACGCTCATGGACCCAGAGGGACAGACTTCTATCTTCAGCTCCCTCTGTGCAAAAATGAAGTTTACTTCCTACCTATGGGGACTTTTTACCATCTTGTGCCATCTACACTTTTCCCAGAGCTTGACGAAGGGACTTTAATCCTGAAAGCTTGCAGAAAAAGGACAATTTTCTTGCCATTTTCCAGTTGGTCTAATAAAAGATATCATTTTGGAACCAAGAGTTCTAGCTTTTTGTATGTCTATTTGAAGTCTCTGTATTTATTTTGAGAATCATATGGAGACATTTGTCTACCTAACAATGATAATACTGCCTGGCACCCCATAAAGGATATCATGGCACTCTGAGAATCACTGCTTAAAAGGGAGATTTCCAATCAACTATGCTGCCTAGGTTACAGGTCTGAATGAAAGTAGGATCATAGAAAAGAGGAACAGGAGGGAAAGTAAGAGCTTGGTTTAGTCACATTTATCCTCATGGAGGTCTACTCAAACCAAGAGATTGGCAGAAGATTTTAGTCTAGAAAGAAAAGCCTGAGTAAAAATGTATATCTGCAGCTGCTCTACAGATCTGCTATCATTTTAACATTTGAGGATGAGATTACTTAAAGATTTAGTGGCGAGGGAGAGCAGAGGGGTGCCAAGAAAAAATATCAAACATTAGAGAGCTCATCCAGATGAGGTAAGTTAGTGCTTTCTGGTACAGAACAGTCTTGAAAAAGCTACAAAGAAGTTCCTTGATTAGCTTAGGTGGAACTCTGAAGCCACCCTGGAAAGAAATCTCAGTGTTACTTTGCCTTTCAGAACGAGGTATACAAAGTTTCTTGCCTGAGGGGCCTTACCTCCTGGCCCTCCAAAAAGGGAAGTGTATTGAAGTCACAAACTCAAAGGCTCACTAATTGGGGGAGCATGTAAAAAGGAGGAAGAAGCAACTGATACTGTCAAATGAGAAAAAAAGACATGTCAAGTGTACCATTGAATTGTGTACCACTGACTACCAGGTAAATCTTGATTAAAGTAGAGAAAAAACAAGAATGTTTTCACTATAGAGAATGAATAATAATTTAAATTTGTGTAAAAATGCCCTCTGGGTCCAGATAGAAAAAACTGGCCTCAACTGAGAAGGCAGTTCTAGTAATTTTTCTGGACATTATGTAGACAATAGGACCACGATCTAGATGGGTCTTAGCCAAGAGTCACGAGGAAAAGCATATTTCTCCCCACCTCACTAATGAAAAACTTACAGTTCAGTAGAAACATGCAAAAAGCCTTTAGGCCTCTGCAGAAGGCAGGCACCTACTTATAATCTCAGATTCGAGCCCTTTCCGGAACACAGATTTGGTTATTTGGCATTATCCATAGTAGCAACAGGTCCATCTGTAATGCTGCCTTTGCTACCACGTAACAGTCCATGCTGCAGCTCTTAGCTCTGCTCTATGTGCTGCATCTCCCTAAGGCCACTCGGGGAGTTTTAGCGAGTTGCTGCAGGCTGGATCAGCACCCAGCCCCCCAAACTCCCCACGTGGCCCCATGTATGACCAGGCAGCTGAGATGGGGCTTTGGATAGGTAAGGAGCAGCATGCACAAGCAGGACAGGCAGGGGGGTCAAGGCAGAGCTGTGATCTGTTGCCCACAGGCCCCTATGATAGGCACCAGTTTTGTGGAAAGGGGTGTGTGAGGTCATGGCTCTCCCCTGTGTCCCAGCCCTGCTGTGTCACTGCCCAGTGATCCCAGAGCCTCCACAGAGACTGGCCAGGACCTGCATGGGCTGGGCAGATGGGATGGGGCCATGGATGGGTGGGGAGCCACATCCAGGAGCAGGATGAGTGGGTGGAGCTAGGGCAGTGGTGGTCACAGCAGGGTGCCAGGCCCTAGGGTACAGCCATGATCCACTCCCCATATACAGAACTGGTGCCTGTTGCAGGAGTACATGGAGAGCAGATTGAAGTTCTACCTCAGGCCCTGGCCCTGTGATCCCAATCCCTGGCCCCCCTATCCCAGTCCTAAACATGGCTCCCCACCATCCCATCTGCCCACATGGGTCCTGCCCCAGGAGTGGGTGCAGGGCGCCTGGGCAGAGGGGCCAGGTCTGACAGCAGCAGCCAGGAACCACTGCTGAGGCTGCCAGGAAATGGCATCTGGCTGCATTTGTCTAGCCAGCAGCAGATTCCCTGGCCCCACTCCAGCCCTGCTGCACACCAGGCTGGCCCCTGTACCTGGGCTGGGCTGCAGGCCAGACAAAAGCCCTGGCACGCTCAATCTGACATTTAAGCCTTATTCTGCCCACCCATCTTAGCTCCTCTCTATAGCCTTGCAGAAACTTGTATAGGAAAGAATAACCCTCTTTTCTGTGTCCAATCATAGGAACAATATAGTTATTAACAGGACTTGCTAGTAGAGGACTCAGAAATGGAGGGAGGCAAACTGATCTAGTCTGAGGTTTGTACCTTCAGAAATCCCTTTGGGGTCTCAGAATTCCCATGACCACAATTCTACCAACTGTGTGGCCAGATATGCATAAAATAGTTCAAAACTACTGGATGGTACCTGGACGTACTAGTTCCTTTGTGGTAGGAAAAATGAGACTGGTATATGTCTCTGCCCCTCAGAGTCCATTACATCCTCCTTAATAGGTGGGATGTTCCTAACAGCTATTGGACAAAATTAGTACTTACCTGCATTTCCCAAGATCACTATTGCCTCAGTATCCCAGGTTTTAGTGATCCCTGCTGGCAAATTTTAGAAGCCCTTAAAATAATCTATGGCAAATTTCTGGACTGATGTGGCTGTCTCATGAAGACAGTGACACCCCCCTCCTTTACATGGGGAAAGTAGCCAAAGCATTTGCCCTCTGAGGGACTGTCTAATTCAGACACCAAGTATTATGCCAGTGATGCCACTGTCTGAGACCTCATCCTTTTCTTCAGCATCTGTAATGGAGGCCACCCCTGGCTGTGTGCAATAAATCTAAGTCAGAACATTTTAAGTACATGTATCAGTGCCCAATGCATAAAGACTTCTCAGGCTCCCTACAGCGTTATTTCTTATATAATGTATACGAGAAAAAGCAACTCTAAGATGAAAACAAAGTAAACTTTGGGAATAGTTGTGCTGCTGGTGCCAGTGTCTATTCTGGTACAAAGGCAAGAGCAGAGGGTTACTGCTGTAGCGCTCATCACATCACTAGGAAGCACTCACAGATCTGTGCCTGTTCTGGTGGGAGTCATGAGACCCACACCACTTGCCTTCAGTCCTGGTCTGAATTTTTTGTTCTCACTTTTTGGTGTCATCAACTGTTTAGAAGGTTAGCCTTTCACAAAGGTTTTGAATCCTACTTCTAAGACAAAGCTACTACATCCTCCAAGCCACGCAGATTGAGAATGGGTTGACTGCTCAGATCTTTTTGAAGTAGCTGGGAGACAGGCTGGCCCTCTCCGTCTCAGTCACTGCCTATGTCAGAAGTGGCCAACCTGCAGCACAAGCAGCCATTAGAGCACAGAGGGGACAGGCACCACAAATCGGGCAGGAAGCAGAGGCAGAGCACTATATTGGGCAGGTTCAAAATGGAAAGGGGAGATCAGAGTAGTATTCAGGAAGGTTGCAGGGCTAATTTGTGGTATGCCTACCAAAAAAAGGTTGGTCTCCACTGGCCTACGCACTCGGCAACTCTAGTGATAACAAGAAGGCTAGGGAGGTCCGTGTGTGAAACTGTGACAAAGGGGTTTCCAGTTCCCTTTTAAATGAACTCTGCCTATCAACAACTCTCTTGCTGCAAACAATATCTTGTTTGGTGGATCTCTTCTCTCCTCACTCAGACCAACTTTTAGATTGCTCAAGTAAACATGATTTAAGTCCCTCATCTTTTTCCAGATACAGGGTGCAAAGTAATGGCAGACTGAGCATTCAGTGCAGAGGGAGGTGCTCCCTGAAGAAAGTAGCCATCTGATATGCCTATCAGCCAAACTCATGAGATTATCATATGACAGAATTTCAATTCTGTAGGTTAGGATCCATCTTCAGGACAGCTGGGGTAAAGCCATCTCCCAATTCATCTTTTTGGTATTGGCTGGTACAGGAACTACTGGCCTAGGTTAATTCAGACATTCCAGTGCTATTAAATGAGTGGGTAAGAACTGAGCAAAACACATTTTTTTCCCTACCTCAAGACAAAGGTGGCAAAAATGTCATAAATCAGCTTGCTTGTTAGATGACTGGTCCTTTTCCAGCAGTTAAGTATTTCAATGAACATCTGTTAAAATACACACTTGGCAAAATATTTTTTCCTTTGCTTACCTGCTGTCATGTCATTCATTAATCTCAAACAGTTTAAGCCAACAATCTGAGCAGCATCCAGTACAGACCTTCTTTCAGCATCTGTGAAAAATGATGGAACCTGGAGAACGTAAATTAAAGAAAGAGCTAGCACCAGAAAGTCAGACTTCCAATAAAAACTTTTTTAAATCTGAAACCCTACATACTCTAAATGCCCCAGAGATGCCCACCCCTTATCTTAGACACTATAAAATTTTAAGGTGGAATGACAGTAGTCACTTAAAACCCCAAATTCACTCAGTATTTTGTGGTCCCATTGAAGCCAGTGCTCAGAGACTACTAAATAGGGGCCTCAAGCAGCAGTGTGAAAAAATACAACCTGCACACCAAATGCATACTGTGGAACCTTATCAGGACTATGGTATTGTCTCCGTTCAGTGTGCTACATGTAGCACACAGAGCTCATCTAGCATATGGCTGGTCTGTGCATTAGAGGTGCACCGCCAATCCATCAGTCTGATATCAGATCAGTACTGATAGACAAAATTGTCTATATTGGAAAATTGGCCTGATGCCGCCAATAAGTGCCCATGTACGCACACAGCTGCAGCGCAGCACACAGGCAGCTAGGAGCACAGCTGGCAGCGTGGAGAGCTGCCAGCAGCTGGTGAGTCTGCTGGGTTGGGAGAGGAGGGGGGTGGCAGATCAAGGCCCCCCACAGTGAGGCAGGGAGGAGGCAGAGGCAGGTGCTGCCTAGCTGGGGCAGGGGAGGGGATGTAGCTGTGGTTCATCCAGACAGCACGGGGAAAGGGTGGCTCCCACTGCTGCATGCATCCCAGGAAGGCATGGGGGGG